CCCCAAAACCCCAAAACCCCAAAACCCCAATATTAATATTCCAATTTGAATGATAAATAATATAAAATCTATTTAAATGTCAGCTAAGTCATTCCAACTAAAGCCGGAGCTCCCTACATATACTGGAAACTTAGTTGAAGAAAAGCTGAGGAATCTTATGAGAAAATAAGGATGAAATTATCAACAAGACAAAGCTAACACAAAGGCTAGAATTTGGGCATACCCAAATCTCCCAATATGTGAGCCATAGCTCACAAGTCAAGGGGGTTATTTGGAATCCCAATTTGAATTGTTTTGCTAGCTATGATGAGAAATAACCTCCATCTGTGGGACCCAGAAAACTCTACCACTGTTTTCTCAGCTAACTTCTTTGATACAGCAGGTTCTCATTGTGTGTCTTGAGTTACTTACTCAACCAGGTATAGGTTATACATGGCTGTGACCACTGACTTTAAGCTACTGATTTACAATGAATTGTTAAGATATGTCAAACAAAAAGACCAGGATGGGAACGTAAAGCCGATTGAGCTCAGAGTCAGACTCGTTAACAACATTCATTTCTGGGAGCATAGAAGTAAACTTATCACAGCTGGTGTCGGAGGATGATTTGTCTTTGACTTCAGAGTCAAGACTAAGTATGACCCAAAGCAAGCTCTTTTCCTTGACCCTGATTCGAAGAATTTAAAATTTGTGATTGAAAATATGGTGCCGATCAACAAAGATCTTTGCTGGTTGAAAGGTCTTAAAGTTATAGAGAAGGAAGGCATGCTCTTCTCTTGGTCTCAAGAATATACTTGCTTCAACAAACTTGACAATGGAGAGATAGTTGGAAAATATCATTCATTGACATCAAAAGAGAATTATATCACTGATTTGATCATTTCAGAAGAGTTTAAATACTTCATTACATCTACTGTCTTCGGGCAGATATACGTATGGAAGTTAAATGTCAGGAGTACATACATCAATTTTGACGATGTTGATGATGCGGTTAAATTTAAAAATCTTAAGACAAAGAAGAAGCTAATCCACTCTTTCTCAGGCCATGCAAAGAAAGTTACATCTCTTGCTGCTCATCCTAACAACACCTCTTTTATATCTGCATCCTTGGATAACACAGTAAGAGTTTGGTGACTAGATAAATTTATTGAACTCTACTGCTTTGAAGTCAGTGCTGGCTTGACCGACATTTTTCTCCTCAACGAGAAATTATTTGCCTGTGTTTATTATGACAAAATTAAGATCTTAAAGCTTCAACATCTAGCCAGTAGTTTTAGTAACCCAAACTCAATAATTAAAAAGGTCGGCGCTTGATATGATACTATTGAAGATCAGATTAGAAATAACCCCTTTGCGATCTATGTAGTGAGTAATGACAACTCAGCGGTTGTTTTTGATCCCCAAGGAAAGCAGATTTCTACTATATACCCTCCTCCAACTGCTAAAGAGCTAAAGGAGGTAGAATACTCTATCAAACTTAGGAAGATATTTATTCTACTTTCTTCAGGAACTATCTGAGTTTACTCTTTTGATCAGGAAACAGCCTTACTGGAGAAACTTCAAAGGCCTGAACATATTAAGGATTCTGCAGGTAAATCTATCAATCAGCTGATCACTACGATGAACTTTGTCAATATAGTTCCTCCAAAATATGATTGCGAGGTTCTTAAAGACCAAGCAATGAGGGAAAGAGAGGTCTTGATAGAAGACACTGGAGAGGAGAATATGATAGCTCTAGGGTTTTCCAAAGGCACTTTTGCCTTTGTATCTGTCCATGATACTGATAAAGTCTATGCTAGATTCTCTATCCATCGCCAACCAATCACTCGGATACAAAAAATCAACTTTGGAGGTGCAGGAAAGTCAAGATTTGACAAACCATTAGAGATCCACTCTGTGAAAGAAGAGGGGAAAGAAAGTGATGGGTACTCACAGAGCAACCAGACTTCTGAGTTTACTCCAGAAGTGCTCTTTATGTCAATGTGTGCAGAGTTTTCAATGCATATTTGGGGATTCAAGGATGGCAATATAATAGTTTATAAGAGTTTCAAAACACTTAGACAGGTAAACCAGGTCTCTTTCTGCTCTGATACCATGCTCATGTCATTCCAGTCTAGAGACTGAGAACTCATGAGTATGGATTCTGATTTAATGGAGCTAGAGGTAATTCATAAAGAAAAGATTAATGAGCATTCTGACGCCATCACATGTATGACATCAAGTATCGAATCTGGCCTATTCGTGACAGGAGGCAAGGACGGAAATGTCAAGGTCTGGACTAGTCAAAAAGAGCTAGTCAGAGAGATCTGTTTTAACGAAGAAATTGACTCAATATGTTTCCTAAACGATCAGCTTGATATCCTTGTAGGACATGGATGCAAAGTCTCGATAATTCTTGCTTCAGATTACAAGCCGTTTACAATAATCAAAGAGAGTGAAGACATTTATGGAGTTGAGGGTATGCTATTGTTGTATAATCTTTAGATGACTCTGAAGACGGTCCTGAAGAAATCATTCGCACAACTGTCACTGACAAAACATTTGAAAAATTTAAAATAAAGGATGAACACATGAGCCCAGATGATGATTCTGAAGAGTTTAAAATTATGAAAAAGAAGAAATAAAAACTTTGAAGAAGAGAAATTTGGCGACTCTTTCTATGACACCAGCGCTATTGGGGCAAATAAAAGCTGTATCCCCAATGCTGAAGATTCTGATGAAGAATATATCACTGAAGAGTTATTCCAGAAGGCACTTCAAGCAGCACTTGAACAAGGTAAGCCTATTGACTGAATTCGTAGAAAAGAAAAAGAAGAAAGGTAAAGGAAAGGGTAAAAATATCTCAGGCAAAAAGAAGAAAGGAGCTAAATTAAATCGAAGAGGTAGCAAAATGTCAAAGAAGAAAGACAAACCATCTGTTTTAGACAAGTATAAAAAGGGGAAAAAGTCAGGAGATGTCGAAAAGTTCTCCCTAGTTGACGCTAGTGTCACTAAATATAAACCCTTGTGCACTGCATTACCATCATCTTTCCCCCAACCTATGAATATAGCAGATCGGATTCGAGAAGCAAAGAAAATGAATATGACTAGAAGAGATATGACTGAACAAAAGATTGTGAAGAATATTATAGCTCATAACGATCCTTCTGATGTGCAAAATTTCGAAGTTCTGTATATCTCTACTAAGAATGAGCCTTTCTTGCCTGATTCTTTCAGTCGTAGAGATGCTGGGGGTCAGTTCCCACCAAACTAGCACTCATTAAATAATTATACAGGTATCTCAATCTTTGGATAGTATATTGGGGTTTTGGGGTTTTGGGGTTTTGGGGTTTTGGGG